TGGGTACTACTTTATAGTATGTTCATTCTACTCACCGGGGTTTATGCCTAGGGTCAGACTTGGATACATGTGTAGGTTTGTGTCAGCGGTGCTAGCTAATGGATTTATTTAGACTAATTAAGTTCATTGGCAGAACAATTGAATGGGGGGGGGGAAGGTGTGGAGGGCAACCATGGATGCCAGGGACAATGGGGGAGGAAGATGGGACATAGCAGAGGGTGGGGGATGGGGAATTAGGGATGGCAAGACAAAGGGCAAGGGATGCAGGACGTAAGAATTGGAAAATTATTGGCTGAGAACATGTATGTGGATGTGCTTGATTGAGCCAATGCACAGTGTATTTTGATGGAAAATTCATTTGTTTGTTGTGATGGTGTAAAGTGAATTAATAATAAAAAAAAAAGAATTATGGAGTATGAGCTAAAATTTTTTGCTATGTAAAGTAAATGTGGAAAAATGTAAAAATAAATAAATGAAAAAAAAATCAAAAAAAAAATTCAGCCCACAAATAAATTTTGTGGTAAAATAAATAAATAAATAAATAACATATGTAAATAAATTGTTATATGGATTGTAACAATCTTTAAAAATATAGTGCGTTAATATGAACTACCTCTAAACAAAGGATACTGCTTTGCATTTGGAAATCAATACTGTTTCTTTGGTTCCAAGTATTAATTCATTATTTTTAAAAATAATTATTTTATTTAAAAAAAAAAAAGATATTGCAGGAAGTCAGCTAGTGGCATGGTGGCTAAGGTGCTGGATCCCACATGGCCAACCATGGTTTGAGTCCTCAACCTGGCAGGTTGAAAATCACGCTAGGTGCATGTGTGTGCATGCTCAAAATCCCAAGAGCAGAATGGAAGAGAAGGGATTGTGGCATGGCCAACCCTTTTAGAGGGCATTTTCTCACTTCCCCTCTCTCTCAAGCTCTCTCCAGTGAGCACATGCACCCTATGACAGAAAAAAAAAAAAAAAGTAAAAAATAAATAAATAAATAAAAGTTGCAAGAGTGTTGTTCACTATTCATGATATGAAATTCACCTAAATGTCCATCTACAGACAAAGGATAAAGACAATGTGGCTGTATGTGTATATAAATACGAACACACACAGTGGAATATTATTCAGCCATTTAAAAGGATGAACTCCTGTCGCTTGAGGTTAAAGAAATCCGAAGGACTTTATTTAAAGTGAAATAAACCAGACGGAAATAGAAAGACTGCATTCTCTCTCATATGTGGAAGTCTTTTCAAATGACCTCACAGAGGTACAAGATGAAGAATGACTGATGGGCCAGCAGGTGGCATGCTGATTAAGGCACTGGACTCCCACCTCCCTAACTGCAGTTCAAGTCCCAGACCTGCTGGCTTGAAAATTACACTGGGTGCATGTGCATACATACCCAAAATCCTGAGAGGAGAATGGAGGAGAAGGGATGGCAGCATACAATTGCCCCCTGGGAGTGATTTCTCACTTTCCCTCTCACCATCTCTCTGTCTCTCTCCAGCAAGTGCATGTGCCCTATGAAAAAATCCTTTAAAAAACAAAAAAAGAAAGAAAAACGCACATACATACATGTGAGCACCAGACTACCAGTGCAGAAAAGCCTTAGAAAACAAACAAAAAGAAGAACTTCAGGTTGATGGTGAAAGAGGAGCAGAAGTTCACTTTTCGAAGAACCATTTCCTGAGTCAGCTAATGTAAGATAAATATATCCATTGTCACAAGGTTTCTTGAGGTAGGAAAGTTGCCTGGCTTACAGCACAGGAGCGAGCTTCCAGAGCTAGCCAACGTGGGCCTCCTGCCCCACAGGAATGCGAGGGCCATCACTTTTCCTAGGTACGTGTGACCATGACCTTAATCGGGCTTTATACTACCCTCAAAGAACTTGGTTCAAACCTCAGTTGTCTTTTCCCTTCTGATCTACTTTGAATTCTGTCTCCTCTCCCGCTTGGGTTGCGGTTTCCTTCTTCACCACCCTATTCAAACTATGCTCTCAAATATGGCTAAGGGCTGACTCGGTAGTGCAGCAGGTAGTGCAAGGCTGAGAATGGCCCCATATGGAGGATCACAAGTTCAATTCCCTGGTTGAGCTTTTTTGTTTTTTGGGGGTTTTTTAATTTAATTTTTTTCCAAAGTTTATTTTTTGGGAAAGAGAGAGAGGGGTGCCCCCAGTAGGGTAGTGGCGTAGCCCTGGTCTCGTCCAGCCTGAATCATGAATATGCACGTGTGAGTACAGAAAGACACCAGGACCGAAACCCAGGACCTTCCACTGTGGGTTCAGGTATTACTGCTGCATCCCCTGGTTGATATTTTTGTTTGTTTGTTTGTGTCTGTTTTTTGGGTTGTTTGTTTGTTTTTGTCATAGGGCATGTTGCATTTGCCAGCGATAAAGCGAGATAAACAGAGACAAAGAGAAGAGAAGTGAGAAGCCACCCGCCACCCAGTGGGGATGGCCACACCACAAACCCTTCTCCTCCATTCTCCTCTCAGGATTTTGAGCATGCATGCACATGCACATGCATCCGGCATGAGTTCCAGGTCCAGGACTCAAACCGCAGTCAGCCATGTGGGAGTCCAGCACCTTAACCACCACGCCACATGCTGGCTCCCTTCCTGGATGAGCCTTTTATAAACACTGGGCACATTTGCTCATGATCCTGACTGGCTAGGAAGGCTGGAGGTGGGGAGACCCTGGTGGACTAGGAAGGCTGGAAGTGGGGAGGTGAGACACTGTTAAGCATCTCTCTCTCTCTCTCTCTCTCTCTCTCTGTGTGTGTGTCTGTGTGTGTGTGTGTGTCTGTGTGTGTGTGTATGTGTGTGTGTGTATGTGTCTGTGTGTATGTGTCCTAAATAAGCTTTTCTTAATGCATAAACTCCTTATGGTCCAATCCAATGGGTTGTTCATCTTCCCCCTCACAAGTTCTGTTTCCTAATCAGTTTCCTCTCCATGCACTCTCTGCCCATATTGCTGGATGAATTAAGCACGTGCAAGTTAGAACAGGCCCCGCCATGGGACTAGCAGGTGTTGTAATGGTGACATCACTGGACTCCCACATAGTCAACTGCAGTTTGAGTTCCAGATCCAGTGGCTTAAAACACAGGCCTGGCACATACATGTGTGCGTACGTGCCCAAGATCCAAGAGGAGAATGGAAGAGAAGGGATTGCAGTGTGGCCATCCACCCTGGGGGGGGAGTGATTTCTCGCTTTCTGTCTCTCTGTCTCTCTCTGTCTCTCTGCCAAGTGCACACACTCTAGCAAAAATCTCTCCCTAAAGAATAGGCTCCTGAAAGACTGGAGGACATAAAAGCATTGAAAATTGTTTGGGACACTGGGGACAACGTGGAAGGAGCGTAGGAGAGGGGAGAGGGGAAGAGTTCAGGAAGGGAAATTTGAGAAAAAATGGAGAAGTAAGACATTTGTGGGACACAGATATGGTTTGTTGCCTGTTGATGTCGTGTTCCGTATTCTCAACTCACTTGGTGTGCGGCATATATCATGATGGGTAAAATCTCTTTACAATCTAAGTGATGTATAGCCATTGAATGTATAAATAATAATGATAATTGAAAATTTAAAAAAAGAAAGAAAATAAGGAAAAAACATTCCTTTCTTTCTTTCTTTCTTTCTTTTTTTTTTTTTTTTGAGAAGTTTTGGCTATAGAGCGTGTACACTTGCCAGAGAGACAGAGACAGAGAGACAGAAAGTGAGAAATCACCCCCCGGGGGGGGGGTTGGCCACGCCGCAATCCCTTCTCCTCCATTCTCCTCTCAGGATCTTGGGCACGCACGCACATGCGCCCGGCATGAGTTTAAGCCACCGGGTCCAGGACTCAAACCACGGTCGACTACATGCGATTCCAGCGACACAGCCATTATGCCAACTGCTGGTCCCGGGAAGAAAAAAAAAAAAACATTTCTAAAACAAAAATAAATAAATAATGGCTTTTAAAAAGAAAAAAAAAAAGAATAGACTCAGCTGCAGTGGCACGTACTGCTGAGATGCTGTGCTCCACAGGCTGACAGTAATGGGAGCCCCAGGTTCAATTCCCAGTCCAACCCAAAGGCCACATGCAGTAGTGTACACCTGCAATCCCAGCCACTCGGGAGCCTAAGGCAGGAGGGTCGTGAGCTCAAGGCTGGGCTGGGTGATGTAGTAAGACCCTGTCTAAAAAAGGAGCCAGGTTAGGGCCAGCAGGTGGTGTGAAGGTTAAAGGTGTTGGATCCCGGGAACCAGCAGTTAGCGTAATGGCTGTGTCGCTGGACTCCCACGTAGTCGACTGCGGTTCGCGTCTCGGACCCGGTGGCTTAAATCTCACGCCGGGCGCGTGTGCGTGCGTGCCCAAGATCCCGAGAGGAGAATGGAGGAGAAGGGATTGCGGCGTGACCATCCCCCCTGGGGGGTGATTTCTCGCTTTCTGTCTCTATGTCTCTGTCTGTCTGGCGAGCGCACGCGCCCTATAGCGAAAACCTCTCCAAAAAAAAAAAAAAAAAGGTGTTGGATCCCACATGGATAACTCCATGTTTAAGTCCTAGACTTCATGGCTTGAAAAATATGCCAGGTGCATGTATGTGCATGCTTAAAATCCCAAGAAGAAAATGGGAAAGGGATTGTGGCATGGCCATCGCCCCAGGTGGTGATCTCTCTCTCTCTCTCTCTCTCTCTCTCTCTCTCTCTCTCTCTTTCTTCATGCACCCTATAGCAATATATATCTATAGATATATATCTGGGACCAGCAGTTGGCATAATGGCTATGTTGCTGAATTCCCATGTAGTCGACCGCAGTTCAGTCCCAGACCCAGTGGCTTAAACTCACGCCAGGCGCATGTGCGTGCGTGCCCAAGATCCCAAGGAGAATGGAGGAGAAAGGATTGTGGCATGGCCATCCACCCTGAGGGGTGATTTCTCGCTTTCTGTCTGTTTGTCTCTTTCTTCTGTCAAGCACACGTGCCCTATAGAAAAAAACTCTCAAAAAAAAAAAAAAAAAACTGAAAAACAGAGAGAGAGAGAGAGAGAGAGAGAGCCAGTCCAAGTATATGACTATAGGCACAGCCAAGAGAGTGAAGCAGGAAGATTAAGACAAAAAGACTCAATTTTTTTTCTTTCTTTTCTTTTTTTTTTTTTTTTCTTTTTGGTCAGAAGTTATGCATCTTTGTTAGTGAGAGAAAGAGAGAAGTAAGAAAGCACTCCCATGGGACGTGGTCATGTTGCAATCCCTTCTCCTCCATCTCTCCCTCCTTTTAGAATTTTTGGGCACACACATACACACACACACACACACACACACACAGTGTGTTTTTCGAGCCACAGGGTCCAGGACTCTGTACAACCAGCCAGTCATATGGGATCCAGCTGCCTTAACCACCATGCCATCGGCTGGCCCAAGACCATGACATAAAAGAAAGAGGAGGATTCTCGTTCACGTCATAACAAGGACAGCTAGAGCTGAGGAAGGACTTGCTGGCGTGCATGCACATTGGCCTCTCTGTCCTCACCACACCCCTGCAAAGGAGATAAGGCTCTCACCACGCATCGTATAAGGAAGCTTAGAGAAGTCAGACAGCTTGCTCGAATTTGCACAACGAGTGACCTTGTTATTGAACCCCCGGGGACTTGTTTCTCCATGGGTAACATGAGTCAGCAGAGGGTTTCTAGCATTTCTTAGAACGCTAGGATTCCAGCGTCTTGATTCTGTAGAAATCTCAGCTTAAGGCATACGTCCATGGTAGGGGTGTACTGGGCTGCTGGCTAGGCTGGACAGGTCTTATGGAAAAGTCAGTGGTGTCCAGACTGCCTGAACTTCAGGAACTGGGTAACAGGATTTTTTTTTTTTTTCTTGCAGAAGTGTAAGGTTTAGGTTGCTGCACATTGATTTTTTTAAGCATTATTTATTTATTTAATTGCATTTGTTTTTGTTTTTTAATTTGAGCAGAGAGAGAGAGAGAGAGAGAAAGGGAAAGTGAGAAAGCAAACCACCAGGTCCAGGATTCAAACTGTAGTTGAGCACGTGGGAATCCAGCGCCCCTAACCACCACACCACTTGCCAACCCCCACGTTGATTATTACACAAAGATAGGAGAAAGAAGTGGGTTTTTTAATTATTTTTTAAAATTTGCTATAGGGCTCATGCTCTCCCCCAAAAGAGACACAGAGGGAGGGAGAGTGAGAAATCCCCGCCCCCCCGAGAGGACAACCACGTGCAATCCCTTCTCCATTTTCCTCTCAGGATTTTGGGCATGCACACACATATACCCAGCAAGTGTTTTTCTTTTTTATTTTTTCTTTTTTTCTTTTTTAGAGGTTTTGTTTGTTTGTTTGTTTTGTTTTGTTGTTGTTGTTGTTTTTGCTGTAGGTCATATGCACTTGCTGGAGAAACAGAGAGACAGAAAGTGAGAGATGGCCACTCTGCAATCCCTTCTCCTCTACTCTCTTCTTGGGATTTAGAGCATGCACACACACACACATCTGGCATGAGTGTCAAGCCACCAGATCTGGGACTTGCACCACAGTCAACCATGTGGGAGTCCAGCACCTTAACCACTATGCCACCTGCTGGCTCCACCATGTCTGGCAGATTTTTCAAGCTGCTGGATCCTGGACGCAAACCTCATAGTCAGCCAGGTGGGATCCAACTGCATTAACCATCACGCCACCTGCTGGTCCCAAGGAAGGAGATTTTAAAGTAGACACTCAATGACTGCCACTAACCAGTTACACCCCAGCTGTAGAAGATCAAAAAGATACATAATACTCCATGAATTAATGCCATAAGTAACTGATCACACGTCAGACCTGGCACCTTCTTAGGGGAAAGGTAGAATTATGGGAGGATAAATACAGTCCTCTAGCGCTAGCTCCATGATACAGAAGTAATGCACTGCTTAAGAGAAGCTGAACCTCCAGACCAGCAGTTGGAGTAATGGCTATGTCGCTGAACTCCCATGTAGTCGACCACGGTTCGAGTCCTGGACCTGGTGGCTTAAACTCACACCAGGCATGTATGCCCAAGATCCCGAGAGGAGAATGGAGGAGAAGGGATTGCAGCGTGGCCTTCCCCCTGGAGGGTGATTTCTTGCTTTCTGTCTATCTCTTTCTGTCTTTCTAGTGAACACATACACCCTCTAGCAAAAACCTCTCCAAAAAAAGAGAAGCCAAATTCCACCTGGTGGTTCAAATCCTCAGCCCATCCAGCCTTAAACCATGCCAGGCACACAGTAGCAAGATCCAGTGGGCTAGAGGACTGCAAGAAGTGGGTCGTGACATGACCAGACCTGTAGGCATCTGGAAGGGCTCAGGCTGCTTCAGGGCACTTCTAAGCTCTACACATAAGTGTCCCAGATAACGAGGCTGCATCTTCCTCTTACCATCCAGCCCTGGAAGTCACGCAACGCCCCTTCGACCACATTATTTTTGTTACAAGGAAGTTACAAGCCTACCTACCTAGACTCAAATGGAGAAGAATACAACTCTTCCTCTTTGCAGGGGTGGGGTTGGCCAGATAAATGAATGGCTTCTCTTGTCTTTTTTTTTCCTAATATTGTCTTTGCAAATGGCAAATAATTCTAGATATGCATGTAGGAGAACAGAATAGTAGGAAGGTCAGGGGAGAACTAGTCATCAAACCGGTGTATGATTTATTAGGAAAAGAAGACGAGAGAGCCCAGTCATTTATCCAGCACCTTCAAGTCTTTGCAAAAGCAGTGACATGACTGATACCATCACCAGATGTTGCCAAAGCTTTGGGCAAAAGGCAGGAGGGTCATGATCTACCAGCCATTGGTAGAGATGGCCTGAGCAAACCGTGTCCCAAACAGATGGATATAAGATCTCCCATCCCAGATAGGTTTCTCGAATCTTGCCAGTTTCACCCCCACAAAGAGAAAGAATATGGTGGAAGGGGAGTTGCATGTCTTCCAGGCTGGATGTGAAGAGGAAGATGCAGCCTCATTGTCTAGAACACTTATGCTTAGAGCTCAGAGACGCCATGAAGTAACCAGCCTGAGGGCGCCATGTTGGAAGGAAGCCCAAACTAGCCCACACGCTGAGTCTACATGAAAAGACATCTCCAACCTCATCACTGACTGCAACCATATAAGATACCCTGATGGAAGCCAGCAGGTGGCGAACTGGTTCTGGTGCTGGACTGCTATGTGGCTAACTGCGGTTCAAGTCCTGGACCTGGCGGCTTGAAACTCACCCCGGGTATGTGTGTGTGTGTGCATATCCAAAACCCTGAGAGGAGAATGGAGGAAAAGGGATTACAGTGTGGTCATACCTTCTGAGGAGTGATTTTTCACTTTGTCTCTGTCTCTCTGTGTCTTTGCAAGCACACATGCTCTATAGCAAAAATCTCTCTCCAAAAAAAAAGAGAGAGAGAGAGATCCTCAAGTCAGAACCAGATATATGGTCATCAAGAAAGTCATGATACATTTTTGCATAGAAATATATAGATAAATACGTCATGACTTTCCCAATGACCGAACATATGGGCTGTGTTTTTCATTATTTATTTATTTTGCTATAGGGAAAGTACACTGGCTAGAGAGAGACAGAGAGACAGGGGGGAAGATGAGAAAGCACTTTCCAGAGGGGATGACCATGCCGCAATCCCTTCTCTTTTATTTCTCTCTCCTTGGGATTCTTGAGCATACACGCACATACTTGGCTTGTTTTTCAAGCTACCAAGTCCAACACCGATCATGGGGTCATGTGAGATTCAGTCACCTTAACCACTATGCCACTGACTTGCCCTTTTTTGTTTTTTAATATCACAATTTGATTTAATGTTTTGTTTTTAAAAATTTTAACTTCATACACTTTACTTTTTGATATAAATTTTGGGCTTACTGAAAACTGTTGTATAGAACAGAGCTCTCAAAAGACTTTTTCTCTCTCAGTTTCCCTTTTATTTATTTATTTATTTATTTATTTATTTATTTATTTTTGGAGAGGTTTTTGCTAGAGGGTGCATGAGCTCACCTGAAAGACAGAGAGAGACAGACAGACATAGCCATTACACTAACTGCTGGTCCCAAGAATTATTTATTTAATTTTATGTATTCATTCAATCGTTTTCATTTGACCAGAGAAAGGCAGACACACAGAGAGAAGGAAACTGAGAAAGGAAGGAAACTGAGAAAGCAAGCCACCAGATCCAGAACTCAAACCATAGTTGGCCATGTGGGATCGTCCAGTGCCTTCACCGCCATGCCACCTTCTGGGCCCTGTGATGACTTCTGAAGCAGCCATCATTAACTGCCACACTGTCATGGCGGGGAGGGAGTGTCCTCCCAGAATCTTTCCTGGTTTGTTTCATGTCTCTTCTTTCTTCTTCCCTTCTGCCTCAGAGCTCTGGTGCCTGCTGAGCTTGTCAGGAGCTGTGGCTCAGAATGCCAATGGTGAGTACCCAGTGAAGGTGAGTACTGAGGAGTAGGAGTGTGAACCACGGCTGAACCCGAGGCTACCCACACCCTCCCACAGGGTAGACAAAATGGACTTGTCCAAGGAGCCTCAGAAAGCCCTGTTCCTTTGTTTTGTTTTCTTCATTGGTTATTTCATCACACTTGGATATGTTTTTAATCTTCTCGTTTCATTTTTATTCATTGGTTTTTTGTTTTGTTTTCATTTGTTTTTGGAGAGGTTTTTGCTGTAGGGTGCGTGCGCTCGCCAGAAAGAGAGACAGAGAGACAGAAAGCGAGAAATCACCCCCCCCCAGGGGAGATGGCCACGCCGCAATCCCTTCTCCTCCATTCTCCTCTCGGGATCTTGGGCACGCACGCACACGCGCCCGGCGTGAGTTTAAGCCGCTGGGTCCGGGACTCGAATCACAGTCGACTACGTGGGAGTCCAGCGACATAGGCATTACGCTAACTGCTGGTCCCTTTATTCATTTGTTTTTAGTAACCAACTGCAACGTGCAAGATAGAGAGATAGAAATGTGAGTAAGACAAAGTCCTATGAAGCGAACATTCTAGTGGGGACAGACAAAACAGCAGTAGCAGGACACATGCCTTACAGCAAAAAATCTTAAAAATAAGTAAATAAAAATGTATTTAGGTGCCAGCAGCTTGCATAATGGTTATGTCGCTGGTCTCCCACATAGCTGACCGTAGTTCAAGTCCTGGACTGGTGGCTTGAAAATCACTCCAGGCACATGTGTGCTTATGTGCCCGAGATTCCAGAAGGAGAATGAAGGAGAAGGGATTGTAGTATAGCCATCCTCCCGGGAGGGTGATTTCTCACTTTCCCTCTCACCATCTCTCTGTGTCTCTCTCCAGCAAGTGTACACGCTCTATGGCCAAAACTTCTTAAAAAAAAAAAAAAAGGAAGTTATTTGTTTAATGCCAATCTCAGTCCTCAATCATGTACAGGAATCCCACTTGTTTCTTTTTCTTTTTCTTTTTCTTTTTTTTTTGGAGAGATTTTTTTGCTGTAGGGCTAATGCACTCACCAGACAGAGAGAGAGAGAGAGACAGAGAGACAGAAAGCGAGAAATCACCCCCCAGGGGGGATGGTCACACCGCAATCCCTTCTCCTCCATTCTTCTCTCGGGACCTTGGGCATGCACGCACACGTGCCCAGCATGAGTTTAAGCCACCTGGTCCAGGACTCGAACCGGGGTTGACTACGTGGGAGTCCAGTGACATAGCCTACTGCTGGTAGGCTAACTGCTGGTCCAGGAATCCCACTTGTTTCTGATCTGATAGCTCTCATTTTTTTAATGTACTGAGACCTCACAAAAGGAAAAGTTACAGGTCTCCCCAGCGTTGAGAGGCTCTGCCCAGAGATGTAACTTCTATGAGAAGAGACAAGTTTGTGGCTCCAGTAACATTTGATCTCTCTTCTTCTCCCTGAAGATACCTGTCCTCTATGCCCCGTAAACTCTTCCTGTGTCAATGGAACTTACTGTACCTGTAACTCCGGGTTCACTTCTAGATCTGGACAGATATTCTTCACATTCATCTTAGAGACATGTAACGGTAAAGGGGTCGTTTTAAACCATCCAGAGGTGGGGGTGGAAGGGAGGTGGCATGAGGGTTGGCGTTGAGAAGAGTTATTATGAATCTCAAATGATAAAAGTTCTACTAGTTTGAGACTAGCAGGTAACGTAGTGATTATGGCACTGGACTCCCACATGGTCAATTGTGGTTCGAGTCCCAGACCCGGCAGCTTGAAACTCATGCCGTGTGTGTATGCAGGCATACCCAAATTCCTGAGAAAAGAATGAAGGAGGGACCAGCAGTTAGCATAATGGCTATGTCACTGGACTCCCACGTAGTCGGCCGTGGTTCGAGTCCCGGACCCGGCAGCTAAAACTCACGTCGGGCGCGTGTGCGTGCGTGCCCAAGATCCCGAGAGGAGAACGGAGGAGAAGGGATTGCGGTGTGGCCATCCTCCCTGGGGGGTGATTTCTCGCTTTCTGTCTCTCTGTCTCTGTCTTTCTGGCGAGCACATGAGCCCTATAGCAAAAAAAGCTCTCAAAAAACAAAACAATCTTTGCTAAATGAATGATCCCGTTTCTCTTTGTGATTCAGACGTTAATGAATGCCAGCCACCCACTAGCATATATTGTGGCGTCCATGCTGAATGTCATAACACAGAAGGAAGTTTCTACTGTAGCTGTGTCCCTGGATACCAGCTCCGCTCGGGAGGCGAAAAATTCAGGTCGGCCAGTGAGAACACCTGTCAGAGTAAGAAAATTCTTGTCTTCTTAGGTGCTTTCTTCATTCTTCATTCAGTATATGACACTGGGTTAGGGGGAGAGATTCTGATTGTGTAGCTAAACGATGTTTCCATTTTCCGGTGGGACCTGAAAAAAAATAAATAAATAAAGGAAAGAAGGAAGTTGAAGCCCAGGGAAATTATATGATGAGTAAACAAGTGTATTGTGAAAATAGAGGAAGTGATACGATACTGCTTGACCTTGGTGGCTGACACACTGGACTCCCACATGGTCAACTGTGGTTTCAGTCATGACCCGGAACCTCTCTCTCTCTCTCTCTCTCTCTGATCAAATTAAAAAATAATAATAATGAATAAAATGAAATTAATAATTATTTTTTTAAATATACTGGTTGAGAGGGGACCAGCAGTTAGCATAATGGCTATGTCGCTGGACTCCCATGTAGTCGACCGCGGTTTGCGTCCCGGATCCGGTGGTTTAAAACTCACGCCGGGCACGTGTGCGTGCGTGCCCAAGATCCCAAGAGGAGAATGGAGGAGAAGGGATTGCGGCGTGGCCATCCCCCCTGGGGGGTGATTTTTCACTTTCTGTCTCTCTGTCTCTCTGTCTGTCTGGCAAGCGCACACGCCCTATAGTGAAAACCTCTCAAAAAAAAAAAAAAAGAAAAACTAAATATACTGGTTGAGATAGAATTTTTTTAAATAATTGTTTATTGGTCATTTTATTTTATTATGATTTTTCATTTGACCGGGGTGGAGGTGGGGTGAGGAAGCAAGCCACCAGAGCTAGGACTCAAACCACAGTCGGCCATGTGGGAGTTCAGCACCTCAGCCACCACACCAACAGCTGGCCCCAAAGATTGAATTATTTGTTTTGTTGTTGTTGTTTGAGATATTTTTGCTATAGGACGTGTGTACTCGCTGGAGAGACAGAGAGATGAAAAGTGAGACATCGCCCTCCAGAGGGGATGGCCATGGCTGAAATCCCTTCTCCATTCTCCTCTTGGGATTTTAAGCACAGGTGCACACGCGCTTGACATGAGAATTCTTTGCAAGGAAGAGTAATTCATTCAGGCTGACTTAAGCAAAAGAGATGGTTTTCCAGAGAGAATGCATGGATGGGTCTTGAAATACAGGAAAAGAATGAAGCAGGCCCAGCTGCTGTGGTAACAAGAGCACCCGGGAATGCTGGAAGCCATTCAATGACTGTCGTAGTTTGGATCCCAGATTGGCCTGATAAACACCCTGGGCACCCAAGAACCCAAGGATAATAAGGGCTGGGTAGAGGGGATCATGACATGGCAAGATTCTGTTGAGGGTGCTTTCTAATTTACTTATTTCGTTATGGGGTTTGCATGCTCATTGGAGAGAGACAGAGACAGAGAAAGTCCAGAATCACCTCCAGGGGGATGGTCACACTACAATCCCTTCTCTGTTTCTCTCTCTTTCTCTCTCTGTCTCTCTCTGGTGAGTGCATATGCCCTATAGCAAATTAAAAAACAATAATAAAAGTAATAAAAATAGGGACCAGTAGATGGTGTAATGGCTATGTCACTGGACTCCCATGTAGTCCACCATGGTTCTAGTCCTGGACCTGGTGGCTTAAACTCACGCCAGGCGCGTGTGCATGCATGCCCAAGATACCGAGAGGGGAATGGAGGAGAAGGGATTGTGGCATGGCCATCCCCCCTGGGGGGTGATTTCTCACTTTCTGTCTCTCTGTCTCTCTGTCTCTCCAACAAGCACATGCACTCTATAGCAAGAATCTCTTTTGATAATAATAATAAATAAAATTCAATAAATAATTCTAAAAAAATAAGCTAATACTGGAGCCAGAAGATGGCATAGCACTTAAGACACTGGACTCCCATGTGACTGACCACCGGTCCAGCCCCAGACTCCCTGGCTTCAAACGCACGCCAGGCATATGTGTGTACACGCCCGAAGTCCTGAGAGGAGGATGGAGGAGAAGAGATTGCGGCGTGGCCATCTCCCCTGGGAGTGATTCCTTGCTTTCTCTCTGTCTCTCCAGCAAGCACACGCACCCTGTAGCAAAAATCTATTAAAAAAAAAAGAAAAAGAAAGCTAATACTTATTTTACTTGTACCATCTTCAGTTGCTATGCTCAACCCTTCACACGCATTATTTCATTTATAATACTACCATGCAGTAAGCGCTACTATTACTGATCAAGAAACAGACTTCCAAAAGCTCACCAACAGTCAGTCAGCTAATAAGCAGGTTTTTCACTCAGGTCAGCCAGTCTCAGATGTCCCCAACAGTGGGTGGCCATGTGGGAGTCCAGCACCTTAACCGCCACACCACTGGAGCCCTGCAGCGGCATGGCGCTTAAGACACTGGACTCCCACACGGCCAACCTCATTTTGAGTACCAGACCTGGAGGCTTAAAACACACACTGGGTGTGCATGCGCAAGATCCCTGGAGGAAAGGCTTGTGGCATGGCCATCCCTTCTGGAGGGTGACTTCTCACTTTTGCTCTATCTCTCTCCAGCAAGCACATGTACTCTATGGCAATATA